GCATTAACATATTTATCAGATTCAAACTTATATAAAGTTAATTTTGAAACTAACATAATATTGACTCTTCCAGAGCAGTGAATGAGATTTGTAATCTCATATTTAGTTATGCTTTTTAAGAGCAATACAATGTTCTTTTAAAATATTGATTTATATAAATTTGTTCAAACGATTTTGCAATATTCTTATGAAATATTTAAATATTTGAATTGTGTTTTGTTCTAAAACAACAACTTATTATATTCTTTTAGTATATTAATTCAATATAAAGTTTAAGAACAGATTAAGAATGAAATGTAAAAAAAATAATTAAGATTGAGTCTTCAATTTTAACATTGAATTTTCAAGCATTTCCTCTTTGAATTATTATATTGACACAACTATTTTTGTTTGTGTGCTTTGAATGAGTTAATAAAAACAAATTGTTGCAATTTACATTTATTATCTTTTTAGAATATGTGTTCAAGTCATTTTACGTCCCTTGTATGAACTTCTAGATATAAGTGTTATAGCATATAAGATAGGCTAATTAATGGAAGAATAAAGATATGAAAGCATCGAAAAAAGTTGAGGACATAAATGGTCCAATAAACAAAGATTGAGGACCTAAATGCAATTAAAATTTGGAGCAATTAATAAAAATCGTAGCGTGTAAGAATTCTTCTTCCTGCTTCAAAATCTAGGTTGGGGAAGATTGTGTTTGTCTTGTGTTTCTTGATACCTTTTCCCAACTGTATTTTTGGAGGGTTTTTGGTCTTAAAGAAACGTCCAAAAGTCCAAAAAATACTCTTGGAAGTATCAACAGACGGAACAATAAACCGCACATCGTGGCTGCAACCCAGACTTGTGGGTGTTTAAAGCGAGACAGTGAAATTTTGTGGGCGTTTAAAGTGTGACAGTGAAATTTTGCACGTGTGCAAAATCCGCATTGTAATTTTCGCACGCCCAAATTTGCCTCTTTCTCAAGGTGGTCAGATTTCAGACACATATAATGATTGATTAGAAACTTCAAATTGCAACCCGTGCGTTGAGCTCCACGAATATTCTTGTGGTGCCCTCAAAAGTTGACAAGTTTAGTTGTTGACCTCCGTTTTCTTTTCTTTCTTTATTGTTATGTAAAATATCGAAATAAAACTCACAGTAACTCAAGATCAATTGTAGAAAACCAAAACAAAATTGGATTTTGTTGACATACAAAAATGAGGCCCAATTAAATGGTCCAAAAGATGGAGTCCAGTTAGGAAATTTGAGGGATAGGCCAAAGTAAGACCATTGTAAAATATAGTGGAGACCTATAAATAGAGGACTATTATCGCCCAAACCTGCAGGGCGCTCAGGGTCTGAGCGAATGAAGTATCTTATTGTCCCTCAGAATGACGGTCCCATTCTCACCCAACCCTTCGAGATGCCCAAGATCTGAGCAAATACAGCGTCTTCTTGTTATTTAAAGCGGCGGTTATTGAGCAATCTTATCACGTTCCATGATCCAAGAATCTCGGTTGCAAACAGTTAAAAGAGGGGAGTAATAGCAGCAGTTTAAAAATGGAGGTTCCTTGACAAGTCGCCATTATGAAGCAAGTGGGTAGTTATAGAGCAACAAGTAGTTTCCAAATGGTTTTACAAGGAAAACTGGCAAAGGAGTATAAAGAAGAAAGAAGACATAGAAGAAGAGGACCCCGAATCAATCACTCTCAAATAGAGAACTATGTAATTTTATTTCGTTTAGTTCTTATTGTCAACTTTCACATTACTTTGTGTGCTTGTGCCCCTTGGAGGCGTTTTGCTTCTTCTTAATTGTAATCTTCATAAATAAAGCACTCTCGTTGGGACTTTGTCTCGAAATGTTTGTTTCTTACACAATCGTCTGAACCATCTTTTAATTGTTAGCGAGACTCGATAATCCGCACTAAACAATTTGGCATGCCCAGTAGGACCACTACACCAGAAACAGCCTATGGCAACGCGCGAAAAACGTTGTCATAGACCTTTTGCAGCGTTCGAGTGCACGTTGCGGGCTTTGATGTCGCCGTAGAGTTCCAACTTTTGGAAACGTGCATCGAACGAACGTTGCCGTAGACACTTTCCGCAACGTGCATTGAACGTTGCCGTAGACCCTACGGGAACGTTCGATACACATTGCCAAAACTAATCTACGGCAACGCGCAATGCACGTTGCAAAAAGTTGACGCCTCTATGGCAACATCGAACATCGCAATGCACGCACGAACGTTGCGAAAGGGTTTTCGCAACGTTTTTTGACCGTTGCGATAGGTAATTTTACATTTTTAAAATTTTTAAATTATTTTATTTATACAATGATTTACATAAATCAACCACAAAACAAAATAAAAGATAACAATATCAAATAACTCCAATAATCATCGTTAATTAAACTCCAAAATGTAACAATATCCATACAAAATTTGAATCCAAAATTCTGAAGCACCTAAAAATCTAATACATTTAAAAAAAAAAAAAACTACCACAAGCCCTAAGCAGTGAGTAAAACAGTCCCACCGACCTCCTTAATTTTCTTCTGAGTAATTTTCGACATGAGTCTGGCCTTAGTAGCGAATGAAGGCTGATATGAGCCAAATGTTGCCCCAATTAAGTTCACATTGCCATTTCCACGACATCCCCCTTCATAATCTTTTTTCGATCTGCCAAAAAAATACACCAGAAACTAAATAATCTGTGAAGTGAATAATTAAGAGAAAAAAAAATATAATAGTTAATGTCAATACAAAAACACAGGACTCTCAGAGATTACCTTCATCAAGCTGAAGACCCCAGACAAATTCTTCCATCTCCGTGGAGACAACCTTTTTCTCTTGTGGCTCTCCACACCCAGAAGTTTGGTTGTCCGCAGTTGAATCATTGGCACTGGAGGTAGCAATTAGGGCTATCACCTGCGGACCAAATTTTTCTTTCTCATGTATTAATGGAAACTAGTACTATACACATCAGGACAAATAAAGACTCGTGTCCATCATAATTCTAGTTGTATTAATGGAAACTAGTACTATACACATCAGCACAAATAACTTGCCTCACCCAGTTTCTTTTTTGCTTCACCAGTAAAATGTCTACTTGCATCAAGAGTTATCCCCTGAAACAAGAATCAAGAAATAAATTCAAAATTTCATCGGGCTCATCATTAAACCTAATATTAAACCATGAAAAGGACTTAAGCATCTGGACTTCATGAGAGATTATTAAGAAATTCATGTGGTTAATCTTACTTGTCATCATCAATCCCAATTTTTTTCTTTACAGCCTTATAAGCTTCATTCCTCCACTTTTGCTCTCCCATTTCCACATTTTCAAGCATATCAATCTCTGGTATGTCATCAAATGTATGCTGAAATATAGTGTAAAACATTATGAAATGGTTTCTAATATAATTATTAGTGTGTGTGCATGGCTTAAAAAGGGAACATACCAGTGTAATATTGCGATGCTGCCTCGTCATCACTTTCTCCACTGATGTTATCCTGCAGCACATAAGAAAAATAAAAACATAATTTTCAACAAAACTCATCATACATTACATCAAATAGTCATAGAATAAATTTATCTCCTCTTTAGGTATTAAATAAAAATAAACTCTAAATTTAAGACGAAAACCTACTCCTCAAATATTTTAGATAGCTGCAAGGCTTTCTCTTTTTCTGATTAAATTTATTCCTATTGGATTAAAGTTGGACTGATACCATTCATATTGTAAATATGTTCCACTAAGAAAAGGTACAGTACAACTTCTCATCCCTTCATATTGAAAATAGCAACTGAATAACTTTGGTAAACCCATTCCAATCTTTACAATATTAGATGTAAATTGTTGAAGTGGAAATGAATTAGCATTCGCTTAAATGCAGTATTTTATGAGGGATTACTAATTTTAACAGACAAACCATTGTTTTATAACAGAAAGCAACCAAAATACTGATCATACAACATATTTTTTAACTAATTAGAAAGTTAAATCACATAAAGATGGTCATGGAAATTTTAATGATGGAGGTTCCAAATCAATTGCAGAATCGGGTTCTTCACGTTGAGGAAATTGGGTAGTATCAAAATCAATTGTTGGAGTGTTAATTGCTGTAATTGACTGCTTACCCATGTTCTTACCACCATCAATTGAATATTTATTGGTCGAATTGAACCATTGTACCAGAATAGAATCATCAACAAAGCTCAAACCGT